AGGAGCACGAGCCTCAATGATCGCAACAAAGCCCTTACACCAGCCTGCATATCCTGGAGAAGCAGAAGCGCTGCCTGCCATTCTATTGGCTTTTCACATGCGCTGATGGCCGCGCTGTATGTGATGACATCTGGATACACCTTCAAGGGAAGCACTGTCACTCGCCCCCTGAACACATCTCGAACCTGACCTTACATCAGGCCAGATAACACCACATGCTGCCCGAAATCCAGGGGGACCCTCGCATCCATCCGCAAACCCTTGAGACCTGTTGGCTCTTCAGGATGTATACTAGCTCAATCGCATGCCGCCATTCTGCGGCTTTCTCGCATGTACTGATGGCAGCGTTGTAGACAGCTATGTCCAGCTGCATTTGCTGATTTGCGAAGGCCCCCAGTACTATCCTGGATTTGCTTCGGCTGGAAGTTGCCATGACGCCCCTAGTGATAGATCCAGACTGTTTCTGATATGTGCGCGTTACTTGTTCTACATACATTTAAGTCAGTTAGCTGTATAAACAGGCCAGTCGAGCTCTAATCCTGCGCACATTTGCAAAGCTTCATTAAGGCCTGGGTCTAGGAAGGGATGTCATGTCGCGGGCTTCAAGATCCCAAGTACTGAACATCCAAAATGACCTGTGCATGGCAGAAACACACCATGATTCTGTTCCGAAGGGATAAAGTGGATAACGTACTCAAGACTCACGGTCATGCAAGATTTTTAGTATCCCAAAATGCTCCCTGGGCTTACGTCTGATTTGCAAGGAAGGACGGAACGGATCTTTTTAGTAGTCGCTATGTATAAAAAAAGAGGGTGCCCCCAAAATGAATAGTTTCCTCTGATTGGAATTTCTATTCCCTCATTCCCTGCTAACCAGACGTAAGTTGGGGCGAATAGCTTGGACCTCGGCAGCCTCTACACGTTGGATACTCCAATCACTAAAAAACCTGCATGAGCCTAGGTGCCCTCAACCTTGGGAGTTCTGGTACCATACTCTACCAAGGTCATGCAGGATGTTGAGTACCCTAAGTCTTGGGTCATTCCCCCTTACAATAACTGTTACCACAATGGGTTATAGGAGTTATAAGAACCCCATGAATAAGGCCCCTTTAAGGACAGTTACTTGGAATGACCCAACCTAAGCCCTAAACCC